TCCGAGTCCTTCTCCATCATTAGTTACTTCATCTCGTCCTAAAGTACCTCACCAAGCCACTGTCATGTTTAATGGATCCTCCTCCTTCACTCAAGACACCATCACATTATCATACACTGACCCCGCCCACTGACACTTCACCTCACAAATCACTATCATCACAATCCCCAGCATCACTTCTCTCACCCTCACCCTCACTTATATCATCTTCCGTTCACAATATCTCACCAAACGCTAAGAAAACCCTCACTCCTGGAAAAACCTTATCTATCGATACTAAAGAGATGGACAAGAAGATACTAGAACAAGAAGAACTCCTAGAGAAGGAAAGAGCTCATTTACAAGTAATGACTGAACACTACAGCTGGTACTGTAGAGGGGCCCGGGGGGTACTAGTGTCCATTTCCCATTGAGAGTGTAGATACAGTAATGGCTGCAGGACTAATGACAGATACTAATGGAATTATTTTTTGATATTTTCTCTCTCTTTCTCTCTTTTATTTTAGAAGCAGATCAGTTTATACCAGAAGACGCTGCAGGATAAGACAGAGGATGAAGATGTTGATCTATCAAAGCAGCTGGATGATGACAAGTGATTGATATGTTTACATTAATCTTATTTATTTATTTATTTTAGATGTAGATTAGTGGATCGTGTTATCAATGCTAACATTAATAAAATGGCTACTAGTTTCTGGTAAAGGGTTTGCAATAAATATAAATCATAATATTGTGTTACTTTTTGTCACAGGAATGATGAATACAGAGCTACCTTAGGAAACAAAGCTAAAAAAGTATTTTAAATAATTTACCTATTATTATTATTATTATTATTATTATTATTATTATTATTTATTAGTATGATTCAAGTCTTCTTTTAAATGAACTTAAGACTGAAGAGAGTTTGCTCAAACTTCAAGTTGAACTTTTCTCATAATAACAAAGAGATCAGAGACAATAACTAAAAGGTTTTATATTGACACCTTATAGCTTTGTATGTGTGTAGTATTTTTGTCAAATTATATTTCACTTAAACTTTGAAATAGCAGAAAGAGACACAAGTAATAATAATAATAATAATAATAATAATAATAATAATAATAATAATAATAATAATAATAATAATAATAATACATATCATGCAGCAAGGAAAATATAAGAATATAGCTATACATGAGATAATAGTTTAGTTATCATGAAGTTTAAGAAGATTACATTATTATTGTTATTGTTATTATTGTTGTTGATATTATTCCTCGAACAGTGGTCTTGATTCTTTACAAGCGACGAAGCACCACCCAAATATAAAGTATAGCATTAGGGCATACGAGAAATAGAGACTGATTAGTAGCAGTACACTGGAAGAACAGTCACCGAAAACATCAAATTTATGATACTCGATAAAAATAAAAGCTGAACTCATTGAGAGGAACAGCAAGAAGGCCAATCCAAAGTAGCATGAGGCAAAGAAGATACGAGTTTGACAGTTTCTGTGTCTGGAGTCCCTGTAGTCGGCCATTTCGTCTTCTTTTACGCAAATGAAGCAGGTACATAAAGCAGTTAGGATGAGTATAATTCCAAGCATACACAAGACACTGATACTGGTGTATGTGATGTAATACCCACAGTCCACTGATGGCAGGAA